AGCTCGTAGCGCAGCAGGGGCTCGGAGACGGGGCCGCGGCCCTCCGTGGGGAAGGCCTGCAGCAGCGCCTTGCTCAGGACGAAGGTGAAGGCCCTCCAGTTGTTGAGGTCCGTGAGCTGGTACAGGACGCCGGCCTTGAGCACGTCCCGGCAGTGCTGCGTGAAGAGGGGCAGGGCGGTGGGCCGGCTCGGCTGGGACGGGGTCTGCGCGGGCGCCCGCCCTCCCTCCTGCTCCCCCTGCTGCGCCCCCTGCTGGGGCCGCACGGCCAGCACGCGCTCCCACAGCCGCTGCCGCCAGTCCAGCGCCTCCCACTGGCAGGAGGCCCGCAGCTGCAGCCGCGTGCTGTTGAAGAACAGGGCCTGCAGCACGCGGCCGTCCGGCCCCAGGGGCGCGCTGGCGCTCTGGCAGTGCGACAGCGAGTAGGCGGTGCACAGCTGCTGGTTGCCGCTGCTGTCCAGGCTGTAGAGGCGCAGCTCGCAGGCCGTCAGCTCCACGTGGCGGGGGCTCCAGCGCCCCGCCGGGCCCTCCCGCTGCTCCAGCTGCCCCCTCTTCACCAGGTTGGGGAAGACGTCTCTGCTCCCTGAAAGAGAAAGGGAGCCCAGTTCAGCCCAGCCCGTGCATAGATGGCGCTGGCGACGATTCGATACCCAGAAGCAGCTCGCACTGGCACATCTTCGACCTGCGGCAGCCTCGCTCCTGGCCCTGTGGAGATCTGCAGGGAAACTCAAGTCCTCCGTGGCTAAAGGCCTGGTAACAGCAGTCCTTTAGGCCGATTTCGTCAGTTAATGAAGACACCGAAGCCACAGGACAAACAGAAACCACTCCAGAACCGTGTCAACTTACCAGAGTCAAGTCCTTGCCCGTTTGTAGCTCAAAACCTTAAGAGATCTACCCTAAAATAACATGAATTAAACAAATACGTGGACGTGTTCAATACCAGCAGAGAAATGCCAGTAAGTGGAACCTATGTGAAAGTGCATCTAAACCTGAAAACCAGAGGCGCTTCTTTACACAAAGGGTTGGGGGAGGATGGAACAGCCTACCCGGCTGCGTCGCTGCAGCCCAACCCACCCATACTTCCAAGAAACAACTGGAAAAGATCCTCGGATCAATTAGCGACTCGTAACCAAACGAGACGCACCAAACGGCCCCCTCTCATTTCTAGCCTTCCTTTATGTTATTGAATTCTGAGCATCGAGTATGTGCCCAAATGGGAAAGGTCTTCAGTGTGCCCGCGCTAATGAGACGGAGGCTTTGGAACAATCGAGGCTCCCTGTGAATCAAAGATCCACAGCGCTCCCAACCTCGGCTCCTGCAATTAGCACTACTCTGGAAAATAACTACTGTAGTGAGCTGAGTCATGTTTAATGGACTATCTTATCTCCCGCCAGGCAAGCGTGTTCCTGTGGCACAGGTGCGTGGTTTAAGTAGAGGGTCTATGGCTCCTTTATCCAAGGCTTTTAGCTTCAGTGCTTTGTATTTGTTTTTCCCGTTTTTATTACATACATTAAAACCTTCAGCACGCTGCAGCACAGACTGCTCTCTCTGCGACTTAATGACCGTAAACCACTTTGGTAAGGCCCTCCGAGACGGAGCTCATCGAAGGGTTTAAATTTAATACCAATTTACTGTAACGCATCACTCCATCGTCTGCTTTGCTCGATAACACTATTTTTTTTTTTACATTGTTGCGTCCAGCGAGCAGGTTGAGTGTATTATTTGGGAACAGAAGCGGCTCTCATCGGGATCGAGACAAAGCTTTTTCCAAAGCCAAACAACCTCTAGAGCATGTGTTTGTGTTCCAATCAGCAAATCAGCAGGAGCAGTGAGGCAGCGCCGAGGCAGGCTGGTCTGCGCATTCATGAAACCAGAAGAAGTGATTTTATGCAAACGGTTTCCCTGGTGAACGCGATACAAAGACACAAGTCTCAGCTGCTATCTATTCTCAATCCTGACAACAAGATATCAACTCCAAGGAATGATGAAACTGCATGTATTCAGCTAGGCTCAGGGGTTTTCCGAAGCAGCCCGGAAAAAAAGGCATGAAAACCCATCAGAGACGAGCACTCCTAAGGTCTCAGCACCTTAGCCCTCTTCTCTTACATCATGGCAACACAACACAAAATGCTGCTTTAAATCAGTGGCTTACCACCATGTGATCTTTCCATCCATACCTTTTCGAATCGCTTTATTCAATACAGGGCGCGCACAGACACACACACCCTGGACAGGACACCAGTCCATCACAGGGCGCG